TAACATTTGTTGTGGATGTAGTTACGGTTGCTGTTGTTAGTGATGGGGTAGATTCTGGTATATATGATGGGATAGATGTATCTGTTGTTGACGATGTGGTAGTTGGTTTAGGTAAGGAGGATGTGGTAGTTACTGTAGGTACTGATGGTATCGATGCGAGTGAAGGTGATGAGGATGGTGTCGATGATATAGGTGTTGAAGTTTTAGTTGTAGATGCAAGTGTTGAGGATGGTATCGATGATGTATGTGCTAAAATGTTTGTTGTAGATTGAGATACTAAGGATGTGGTAGTGATCGATGTATGTGTTGAGGATGGTATCGATGATTTCTGGTTTAGAGGTTGTGGTACTTGATGTAGGTGCATTGGATGTGGTCAACAATGTTGAGAAGTCAAAATCTTCATCAACTAAACGTTTGCTTACACATCTTGCAGTTGAAGTCCTGTTGCAATTCAAAACCTAAGGTGCAATGAAATCTTTTGACTTAACACATGATGCTCCTTTTGATTTCATGTTCTACATTTTTCCTAAGTACATGTAAAAAAATAGTCAATACCAATTTATTGAAGATACTAAGATCATAATGATAAGAGAACAAGAAACAATGATCACAACAATATTATATAAAAATATATTTTAGATGAGTGAAACCCTATTTCGCCAAAGTGATCAGTACACAAACGTAATGAAGAAATATAGGTGTGGATCAATGAGCTGTTGGAGATGATGACATAAAATTTAAACCCTATTTATAATAAGGTAACTGACCATAATATGTAGGATTAATATGTATAGGTTGGAGGGAAAGGACTTGCAAAAAATTTTGTATCACCAATAATGAAAAATTCTATAATGCACACAAAATTGGGCTAGTCAAAAATGATATTTTATAGAAGACTATTTAGGATAAATAATCTTAACAAAGTTATAGTATTTGTGACATGGATTCCACACATATAAAGAACACTGGAATCCGATTTCATATGAAGAAGTTATGCTTCTTCGAAGTTTTGCGACTAAACTAACACGACTCTGCGTATCGTAAAAAGTAGACTTTCGATAGATTAATTTTTAACCTAAATGATCTAAATGAAAGTCTTAGTAGTCGTCAAACCGAGAGTCCACATATAAATAACGTCTAAATCTAAATTCATTAGAGTAAGTTACGAATTTTCTAAGATTCGACACCAATGTACAACTTAAAAATTAAATTTTAGATCGGACGTTTTTTGGTCGAAACAATCTAAATGTTAATTAAAGATATCCTTAATAGGAGTTTGACAATATAAATACAGTCGAAAACAGACACTAGATGACAGATTTATACATTTTATACCAGCTTTAACAGTCTAAGCTTGTGCGAAATAAATAAAATCAAAATTAGCCAACAGAGTCTCATTGAATGCTGTAGATCTCATCGATAGCTACATGGATATAAAGAACATTATAAACAGAGCTTGTATGAAAAAGATACGTAATTTTGAAAATTTGAAAATCAGCCTGTACGTAGTGCACGACGTGCATACCTTCTAGAAGGGGCGACATAGCACCAGCCAAATCGAACAATTTTCAGCTGCAAAGGGGCGGACCAGGTCAGTGCGTGGCACACATCTGTTCTGGGCGCGACGCACATTGTGTTTTTCGTCCCTATAAATACCACTCCTTATACAAATAATTCCTCACACCCCTACAAGTCATTCTCTCGACTTTTTCTCTGCTGTATCCCTATTTTTCGTAGTTCTTTGTTTATCGACAAATCCCTATGATACCTAAAGTACCCGACTAGTAGTACCTATCTAGTATAAGCACCTGGGTCATAATTCTGCTCGCATAGTTTCTGGTTTTCATCATGTTACCCGGTAAGTTATGCAATGCTCTTTCTCTTTTAGTGTAACTTATATTTATAGTCATAGTTGTTAGTATGAACCTATAAATAAGATTTATTAGTAATTCTAGCTATAATACTGATTGATATACTTACGGGGGAGGTGTCTAGAATGGTCACGTTGACTTGGTTGTTGGATTTTCGAAAGGCTATATGCCGAAATGGTCCTGCCTCCCAATTGATTGCCCTGATGGTCATTAATTGATAGATCTTAATGTAGACATTACGATTAGTGAGGAATCTATACTATAGTTATTATAGTCACTAGGATTATAAAACTAGACTAAAGTTTATGTCACACCCCCAAACCAGAATGACGGAAACGTCTGGGGATGGATGACTTCATGTACAGTATCATAACAATTGAATAATAATGATCAAATCCATACAACCATCACATTGATAAATTATAAGTTTACATTGTATTCAAATCATTATTTGCTTGATACCAAAATACATATGACAAAATATATGACGTGATGTTGTAGAGCTCCATCCTCAAAAATCGTTTTGATTACATGTTTATTGATTTCCTGAGAATACAAGCAGTTTTAAAAAAGTGTAAAAATTAAGTTGGTGAGTTCATAAGAGTTTTGTATGAGAAAAATCTACGATTTTTCCTTGTAAGATGATAGAGTGTGATTCCAGAAAATCCAATATTTTCTTTGTAAAATGAACTGCATGTCTTAATCTCAAGACTAAAATGATAAGTAGTATTGTACTGGAAAATAGTATAATGTAGTTTTATCATTATATAAAACTGATTGAAGGTAAGTTAGCTCCGTAAACCAAATGTATTGTTAATACGCCATGTGAGTTATTATAACCGTGCTAAACGACATAGATGGCCTATCACGACGTTCATTAAATGTCGGAATGTTATGACATTTGTCACCCCAGACCTGTCGGTCTTACCGTACCTAACAGTTTAGGTGGGAGATTGTCAGTCCCGTATAGATCTATACACTAGTATCATGCTCTTTTACGGGAGATTCCTAGTTAAATACAGGACTTTTGTAGGTACTCATGTAAGCACATGAAAATAGAGTCTCACAACCTTGTATCAACAGGTTTACGCATAATGTAATGAAAAACCTTTTGTAAGTGAAAAAATTTCCTTTCTATAGGAATTTCATAGTGTAAAATAATTATACCTTTAAATAATTATTTCTTTGTCCCGAGAGGGTAAACTAGTGAAAATGCCCCAAAAGCTATACTTATGATAGTTTATTAAAATATTTCTTTGATATGAAAAACCTTTGTATGCAATGTTATCATTCTTCTATGATAAAAGTAATATGAAATGAAATAATTATATATGTATTTTTATATAATTATGCACCTTGCTCAACATGTTACAAAGACGATAAAGTTTCATAAACTATACTTGCATAGTTTATTATAACAATTTAAATTTGTACCCAATATATATATATATATATATATATATATATATATATATATATATATATATATATATATATATATATATATATATATATATATAAGTATAACATAGCGTGTTTGTACTCGTTTTTCATAGCTTTATGTTTTTATCAAAACTTTTCATGTAAAAGTTCACAAGTTTGGTAGTAAAGCTATTTCATGTATTTAGCGCTTTTTCGTAACAAGTAAGAAAACGTATTTAAACATTTGTGTTTCACGTAAGTTCTCTTGTGTTATACTTGTATTCCCTCCTAATACATGGAAAATTCTCGAAAAATGTAGGGGTATGAACTCACATTGAGTGTGTTTGTGGTTGTATAGAGAGATGATAGTGAAGATCTTCAAGCCTAGAACACTTGAAGGTGGTTGAAAAACTCTTTGCAGATGGTATTATCCTATGAGTTTTAACACATGATAATGTGTGTAAATGTGATTAATCTAGCATGAAAGTGTATAGAATGTTGGTGATTTTATTGTCACCATGTCATTTTAAGTAACTGGAACTAACATGTGAGCTAAGGGGTTTCATGATTTGTACTCTAATACATGTACGGGTTTGTGCGGAGTACACGCATGTATAAGATCGAGTCAGAAGCCGGTTTGACGACTAGTCGGAGGTCCGGGGGCAGCGCCCTCAGGTCCGGGGTTTCCAAAGGGGCAGCGTCCCTTTGGCGGGGTCTAGGGGCAGCGCCCCTAGTGGGGTCCAAGGGGTAGAGCCCATGGCTGGGGTCCCGCTAGATTATGGTAAAACTAACGAATTTTGCATGTGGGAACATAATGTAAAATTAAATTTCTTGAGGGTGATTATGGTAAAACTAACAAAACTCGTTAGTTTTTGGTAACCCTAATCCGGATTAATATTACTTGCTTCCTAAGTAAGTAATGATGGCCCAACCCTAATGAAACCCTAATCGTGTTTAGTATATAAACAACTCTTCCTTTCTAGAAGACGGATGTTTTTAGCTCTCGTTTTTCATCACACATTCACAAAATCTTTTAGCATAATAGCTTACATTTTCTGTGCTTAGAAACGTAGGTGTCCGCTTGGATTATCCTAGGTTGAATTTCTTGTAACCCAAACATAGGGTAGAAATATCAGTTCGGAAAGTGATATCACGATCTAAGCTGGTATCCAGATCTCCACCGCAAACCCTAATTTTCCCAACATAGAAACACTATATTCATTGGAAATGCTTACCAAAAATTCTAGGAACCAACTTGGAAAATAAATCGTTGGAAGTGTTGAACTTGATCTTGAGAGAAAAAGGTGGAGAAGATGAAGAAAATGTTGAAATACGAAGGGTGTTGGAGGAGCTCTCGGCCGAAGTTAAATAGGGGAAAAAGAGGGTGGGGTGGGGTGAAGTGACCTTTGCATTGATTTGCAACTATTTTTTTCCAAACATCTAGTAATATTTAAAGATGAAAAACCAAAACATATAAAAGAAAGATTAACATCAAATTTAATAACCACTTGGGTTGTGGTGACTTGGTAAGACATGTAGAAGATATGGTGGATAACCTATTGACCCATGTTCAAATCCTAACACCACTCAACCCTTGCGGCCATGGAGGTTCGTCTGCAGTGACTCCAGGGCATGAGACAAAGCTTTATGTTTGCAGCGGGGGATTAGTCGGTGCGCGGAAGCTGGTCCGGAAACCCTCGTTAGGGAAGTTCCCTTTCAAAAAAAAAACAATGTAAATGAATAATCAAATTTAATGTAAATGAATAATATAGCATAATATTTTATATATAATTTCTCACAACGATCGAAATAATGTAAAAATAGATGTTGTCAGAACATGTGAAAATGATAAGGGGGCTGGAATGACTTTACTTCAAATTTATAAAACATGATTTTTGGTGTCGGGTTAGAGAACTAAAGAAACTTGCTTTTCAATGACCTTAGGGACCAAAATGCAATTAGGCATATCTCATGCTTGAAGTTGTAATGTTGTATGTAACCTTGGCTTGTCTCGTTGTGTGCATGAGGATGTTATTGTTATGTACACACACTCCACATCCACACACCAATCAATAGATTTCTTTTTCCAATCTCCTCCCCAAATCTGTATACCCACCCCATTACTGATCACATGCCCTGTTAACTCCCTCTTAATCCCAACAATTTCTTACACTCGTAGTCAACAAGGACGATCGTGATGATGATCCAATCGGGTGTAGGAGGAGGAGGAGTAACGAGTAACAAGACCGCTGCCACCCGATTTGCTTCTTTTAGTGCTTCTCAGATCTTCGGCGGCTGCCACGAGCGGGACATTCTTATAAAGAAAACCAATTCCTCTGTTCCATTCGCTCACCGGAAAATGTCTCATTCCAACATTACTGATGGAGGAAGAAGAAGCAGCAGCAGTAGCTCAAGCCCGCATGTTTTTTGCCCCAAAGCTGTTTCTGACTCTAGTTATTCTCAGACCTGTCTCGACCCTGATGCCAGCAACGTATGCACATTCCACCTCTCTCCTAACACACATAATTGGAAACTATTTTTATCCTTTTAAAGTTTAAATCGATTCATTTACCAAGTAGGTGTTTGATAAAATGCCACACCAAATTCCTTTTTAGGGATTGAAGGATGCGTGAGTTCTCTTCATGTATTTCATGATCTAATGATTGATAGGGAAATCTGATTCTTCTATTTATTTTCTATACTAGGTCCATTTTGATACCAATAATTAATGTACATTACATAAACCTAGTTGCTTAATTCAGTTTACTAAACTTGATCTGATTACCATGGTTGTAGAGTGTGCTTGGAATCATTCTTGGTGGTGGAGCAGGGACTCGACTATATCCTCTTACAAAGAAAAGAGCCAAACCTGCTGTTCCTTTAGGAGCTAATTACAGACTCATCGATATACCTGTCAGCAATTGCTTAAACAGCAACATATCAAAGATATATGTTCTCACCCAATTCAATTCTGCATCTCTTAATCGACATCTCTCAAGGGCATATGCAACCAACATGGGTGGCTATAAGAATGAAGGTTTTGTTGAAGTCCTTGCAGCACAACAAAGCCCTGAGAATCCTGATTGGTTCCAGGTGAGTTGAACCTAAATGGCTGTTTCTTTTCTTTTTTCATCAAGTGCTCTGCAGATAAAACATTCCTCAATCCCTAATTTCTGTTAATTTGTGAGTGAATAGGGTACAGCTGATGCTGTAAGGCAGTATCTATGGCTGCTTGAAGAACAAAATGTGTTGGAATATCTGGTTCTTGCTGGTGATCATTTGTACAGAATGGATTATGAAAAGTTTATTCAAGCACACAGGGAAACTGACGCTGATATAACTGTGGCTGCTCTACCAATGGATGAAAAACGTGCCACTGCATTTGGTCTAATGAAGATTGATGAAGAAGGAAGGATAATTGAGTTTTCGGAAAAACCAAAGGGAGACAAATTACAAGCAATGAAGGTATGAATACGACAAAAAATCAAAAACTTTACCCAATGTGTTCTTCCTTCTAATGTTATTCATGTGAATTGATAGGTTGATACTACGATTTTAGGGCTCGATGATAAAAGAGCAAAAGAAATGCCTTTTATTGCAAGTATGGGGATATATGTTTTCAGTAAAAATGTTATGTTGGATTTGCTTAGAGAGAAGTTTCCAGGAGCAAATGACTTTGGAAGTGAAGTAATTCCAGGCGCAACTTCCATTGGGTTGAGGGTATGTTTCGTTTTTATAATTTAAAAAAAAAAAAAAAAAACTGATATGAATTTTATCCTGTTAGGTACAAGCATACCTGTACGATGGTTATTGGGAAGATATTGGTACCATTGAAGCTTTCTATCATGCAAATCTTGGAATCACCAAGAAGCCAGTTCCAGACTTCAGGTACCCTTTTTTTTTTTTTTAATAATATAATTCGTGTTCAATTTTTAATATTTTTGTTTATTTATATGCAGTTTTTATGATCGGACTGCTCCAATATATACACAACCACGGTATCTACCACCTTCAAAAATGTTGGATGCTGATGTTACAAATAGTGTCATTGGTGAAGGTTGTGTGATCAAGGTACGTATGTTCAAATGAATCTTTTGTAAAACATTTGTAGACAATTTTGTGAATCATATTTGTTTTTTTTTTTTTTTTTTCTTATAGAAATGTAAGATTCATCATTCGGTAGTTGGTCTTCGGTCATGCATCTCTGAGGGTGTCATTATTGAAGACACTTTGCTCATGGGAGCCGACTACTATGAGGTATTACATCTATTTTTTACAAGGAGGGCATTCATGTCTTTTTCATAGATGGGAGCAGAACTTTCATTATTGTCAAATCGATATCTGTTACATGTCAAACACAGTATAGTTTTTTTTATTTTATTTTTATGAATGGATGATGAGTTATATTTTATTGGGAGCAGACTGATGCAGACAAAAGAGTGTTGGAAGCGAAGGGTGGGGTTCCTATAGGCATTGGAAAGAATACACACATCAAGAAAGCAATAATAGATAAAAATGCTCGTATTGGGGATAATGTCCAGGTAAAATAATCACTTTATTAATCCATTGTTTGCTTCGTGTGTGTATATATATAAAGAAATAAACAATGGATGATGATGCATGGTTGTATTTGCAGATAATAAACAAAAACAATGTTGAAGAAGCAGCGAGGGAAACGAATGGTTACTTCATTAAGAGCGGAATTGTAACGGTTATGAAAGATGCAGTCATTCCAAGTGGCACCATAATATGAAACACTACTTTATCTTGTCATCTTGTATTTTGACTTTTTCTTTTTATATAGCATTTTTTAAAAAAAAAAAATAAAATAAAATCTTTCATATTAGTTGATCAAAGCATTTTACTAGTGGTACTAATCCTAAGGAGTAGCAAAATTGGATCCCCGGTGATATACTTGTAGAAACTTTTATTCAATAATGATTACAACTCTAAATAGGGTTTTGACATTTCATCTCTATCACACAAATAAATACAAAAGGGCTAAATGTAGAAAACAACATTCTACTTTCTAAAAATATTTTTTTTCCCATAATATTCTACTTTCATTTTTTCTTTTAATAATATTGTATTATGATTTAAAAAATCTACTTAGTGATACCAATAGGTAGTTATTTAATTTTTAAAAGACTTACATTGTTATAATTAGTAGAATTTTAAATGTACAATATCTTTAAATATTTCAAAAATACAATGTTGTAATAAAATAAAATGATATGGTTAAAAGATGAGAATTGCATTACTATTTGGCATATTGTGTTTTGAACGTGTAATTCTTAACTAAACATTTTTATCATATTATGTGTAACTGAAGCACCCTCCCCTATGGGCTAGTTTGAAATATAATCTTTGCAGAAAACTCCCAAGCTTCAAAGTTTTTTTTTTTTTTTTTTTTTTTTTATCAAACACAAGTATGTTGTTAAAAGGAGTATACGATAAGATCACAACCAATATAAGAGACTAAGTATTAAAACAATGTCTAACTATTTCAAACATTTCTAAAAGTTGTCTAAAATCCTCATTAGCTCCTCGGTCTCCAAAATGTCACTATAAGACCGCTATTAACCTAAGCACATATCAAAATAGTGTATTAGGCTTGGGAAGCCTAATGAGTAATAAAAGCTTAGAAATATTAGTCAATATATATAAGAACACAATTCATAGATATATTATGACATAAACCCTTATCTATTTGAGACTTCAATTTTTTTGGGGAAATCATTGCAAAGAGTATATGTGTTATGATCACTACCGGCCCAACCATACTCAACATAGAAGAACAATGAGGCTTCATTTTCTAAAACCAATTGGTGATAGAAAGGATTACCCATTGTCTTATATGCTAGTATATAGTTTCTATTTTAACCGTTGTCGGATACCGTATTCTGAAACACGGAAAAAAATAATTGGCTTATCAAATTATCTATCGAGTCGTGAAAAAGATTCAACAAAAGACAGAAACAAATCCACGATCTGTTCTACGTCAAGCAAAACATGGAGTAACTTCGGGTATACTAGTAAAAACAAGATGTGTAGGTGGATCGACTCATCAAGTTCCCATTGAAATAGGATCCACACAAGGAAAAGCACTTGCCATTTGTTGGTTAGTAGCAGCATCCCGAAAATGTTCGCGTCGAAATATGGTCTTCAATTTAAGTTCTGAATTAAGGGATGTTTCCAAGGGAGTGACGATGTCATACGCAAAAGGGAAGAGAATCATAGAATGGCGGAGGCAAATAGAGCTTTTGCACATTTTCGTTAATCCATGAACAGGATCTATACATATCGATCGTAAAAAAATCAAGACAAAAAGAAAGAATCGGAATTGATCGATATAGTTCTCGAAACAATGGTGTTCCATTTTCTAAAACAAATTGGTGATAAAAGGGATTACCCATTGCCTTATACGCTAGCATATAGTTTCTCTTTTAACTGATGTGGGATTGGGTTTGTATCCGAAAAATCCTCCCCTCAAACCTAAGTTCCACCCTTGGCCACCCCTTCAACAACTGTTCATGAGATCCAATCCTTTTTCATACCACCAATACTCTTGAGAAACGCTCACCTCTGACCTGGGGCCATTAGGAAGACTTTCGATACAAGGCTTCAAGATCAACTTCGTTGGACCGAGAATTATTGGGGATTGCGCTACCTGCGCCAACCACATCATTCAGGCTATGACCGTATCTCTGATACCAGTTGTTACGATCGCTACTAGCTCAACCATACTCAATAGAAGAACAACGATGTTCCATTTTGTAAAACCAATTGGTGATAGAAGGGATTACTCATTGCCTTATATGATAGAATATAGTTTCTCTTTTAACCGATGTGTGATTAGGTTTGTATCCCAACAATATGTATACTATTAACAACTCCAAAACTTCAAAAGATATCATAAATAATAAACGATATATATGCATGCAATGTATGATACAGAACAAGTTACCAAACCTTATTTTTTCTATAACTAACAAAGTTTTTATGCCTCACTCTTAAAGGACCCCAAGGTTAAACAAAGCATACATATGGAATAACATATAACACATATAACACATTTCGTATAGAGAGTCTTCATAATCAAAACTTCAAAAATACTAGGTTACATGTGAACCATCATACATGAACCATGTGATGGGTTTACAAGGCTCAACACATGTGAATGCATACTATAATGTCATTCACAACTTCAAAACTTCATAGGTTGAATATCTAAGTCTTCAAAAATGCTCGAACGATAGTAGTCTCAGTTACCACCTGATGTACGGATGCCCATGGTCATGATTATGAGAAAACTCAATGTCTTGGAGACATTTACAAATATCTAAAAGACATCAAAGAAAGGTATAAAGGTATACATATAGTATCCAAGAAAGGTATACATATAGTATTTTAATAAAAGAGAATAACATGTATAGTATCTTCTAATAAGCTCTTCCAACTATAAGAAGGATCATAAAAAACATATACACATGCATAATTAAGCCAAATTACTAATAATAATAATTAACCTCAAGTTTGTTAATTGGATTTGTTAAGCTTAATTAATCTATTTTATCTTATAGACACTTATAACATGTTCATAAGTAAACTATTAACAAATTGCTTCCTTATGAGAAAGTTGTGAGTTGTGTACAAGACAATAAGTTACTCGTGTAAATTATAAAAGGATAACCACATGATCGTGTCATTGGTTGATCAACACCATCACCAACAAAAACATAAAAAAATGTTCAATAAACTTATCCAGTTTGACTTAACCCCCCCCCCCCCCCCCCCAAAAAAAAAAAAAAAAAAAAAAATTGATTTATAATGACTTTAGATGGATTCAAAGGGTCCAGGACTTTGTTATAACCCATAAATCCATCCTAGTTAACACCATTATCAAGCTTAATCCATTGATTGGATTGGTAATCATCATCTTCATCACTATATACTTCAAAACTTCGATTACCCTTAAAGAATCAAAGATTGTGTACTCTTTTTCTTCTCCAAATGAAGGAAAGATCAACCCCTATGGTTTAAGTCTCTAAAACTATTTCGTATGCACAATACTAGTCGCCCCTTTTAGACTAAATGCAAAAGTTACCCTAGTTGAGCTTTTCTTAACAAAACAAGTCTACTTTTTCACATTTCGACCTGATTTACAAATTATTATTTAATTATGGTCCAACGATGATCGATCAATGGTGTTAAGCTTAAAGTCGCAAACCTTTAGTTCATATTCTTGAAAGGTCAACATCTTCAAACTCAAATGGCGCCTATATTAGGACTTTTTGGTTAGCTTCTAATTATATCATAATGATTTAAAAAAAAAGGTATTCCCTTTTTTTACGGGACCCTAGAGAAAGTTCGTCATTTTTTTTTGAACCGGCAAACAGAGGGTAACCCGACCCGGTGGATCAGGGTTGTCTAGCAAACCACCAAGAGGGGCACCACTCACCACCAAAGACCAAATGACATTATGAGCCTTCTCCTAGCCACTTCTAATTTAAGCCACTTGGGCTTGAACTTGAGACCTCCCTTATCGGGAGCCATTGTCCCAACCAAGTGAGCCCCTAGTTGAAGTTTATTGGCTTAAATCATAATGAATTTAATTATACTAAAAAGACTATGCCTAAAAATCGGGTGTTACAATTAAAGTCGAGTTGGGTATTATATATTTCACTTTTCATTGAACTTGGGCCTCCCCTAAAAATTGGATGTTAGAGCATCCAAAGCCGGGTCTTTCAAAATTCTTTTGCAATGCCACCAAGCAATATTTCATGCCACATAGGACTTGATCTTTCAACCTGTGCAAACCTTGCAAATGTAGTTTATTAATTTTTTAATCAACCAATATGGGTGATGTGAGGAGAATACAAATGCAAATTATTTTTATCAATATATTAACTTTTCATCCACTTGATATATATTAGTTTTTTAATCGGCATATTAACATTTCCACCAAACATTGTACACATATGGCATTTACAATTGATTTGCAAGAACCACCGATGTGGATGCTCTTACAATTAAAGTTGAGTTGAGTATTACATATTTAACTTTTGATTTTTAAAACTTTTTTTTCTTTTTTGTTTTCCATTTAGGTTCTACCAGGAAGGACATTCATGATAACTTAAAAGTTTTTAAATTATGTAAATAATAAATTTATGTTTTTTGTTTTTTTAATATCAAATTTTAAACTGACAGATATATTGACTTTTTAATTGATAAATCCATTTATTTGGTGTTTGGAAATATAGTTAAACTTTGACATACAACTAACCAATTAATAAAAAGATATACGGCTTGACGGTATTAGCCATTAGGTGTGTTGGAAATATGTCTCAGTGAATAGGTTGAGAGATCAACTTCTGTGGTGGTGGAGAAAATGTGTAGTTTTAAAGATATGTTTAGTGGGTGTTTGGATAGACATTCTAAAAAAAAAAACTAACTGATTAATTATTGTTTAAGAACATTTTTATTGAATTAACTGATTGCTTCCACAATAAATTGCAAAGATTTAGTAATATCTATCTAAAATAATTTTGATCAATTAAACTATTTCAATTTAAAACTAATTATTAACTATAACATTCATTTTTTTATCACACAAAAACATCAAACATTTATTTGGCATAAATAATATTAAAAAGTTCTAATTAACATTCACACTCCATTTTGACATTAAATCTTATCAGACCCTTTATTAAAATTTATCAAAATGGCAATGAGACCTATTGTTATAATTGGATTATTTTCACTGTCTCCTACAAACATGTATGAACCACCCTAATCTTCCTCTCTCTTCATTTCTTTGTGATTGATGCTGCTCCCAACACGTTTTTGATTGAAATGTTAGTGCACTTTAGCCAAACATTCAGAACCATACAACAAAGTTAACCTTAGAATATAATACTATAACAAAAAAAAAAAAAAAAAAAAAAAAAAATTGAAAATATATTGTTAGTTTTTGCATTTTTCCCATAGGAATACAAAGGTATATAAACAGTATAGATAAATACAACATACGGATTCATCTTTTCT